TGGATACAGAGGAGTTAGGCAGAGACCTTGGGGGAAATTTGCAGCTGAGATCAGAGATCCCAAGAGAGCTACACGTGTATGGCTCGGGACTTTCGAAACAGCCGAGGACGCGGCTCGAGCTTATGACCGAGCCGCGATTGGATTCCGTGGTCCACGGGCTAAACTAAACTTCCCCTTTGTGGATTACACTTCGTCTCCTGTTGCGGCTGAGGATAAAGGAGCGAATGCGAGTGCGAGCGTGAGCGCTACGGATTCTGTTGAAGCGGAGCAATGGCAAGGAGGAGGAGATTGCGATATGGATGAATATTTGAGGATGATGGTGGATTTTGGGAATGGCGATTCTTCGGATTCGGGAAACACTATTGCTGATATGTTCCAGTGAGAAAATTTAAATTGTGTGTTAGTTTTAGGAGGAAGTGATTACAAAAGTGTAGTTACTTACTCTTTCAGGCATTGTTTGTATCATAAAGTTTAGTCTCTTTCTTGTTTGAGTATTTTTTTAGTGAAGTGCAAGAAGAGAGTGAAACTGGCTTATTCAAATTGACCAAGATTCTTGGTTTGTTGTTCCTTGTAGATTCTTTGGACTATATTGAGGTAAAGGACATGTGATTACTAGTCTCAGTTTTGTGTTTTTGTTGGTCAATTCTATGTTTATCTCATAAAAATCAGAGTTAAAACTAGCAGAGGTTGAGAAACCCAACTTTGGTCTGAAAGATGCAGAGCATTACAAACGAATTGTCAAATGCGTTTACAAGAGATAAAACTATAAATGGTGACAAAAGAAAGAAAGAAAGATTATCTTCTTCTACAAAGCGTCGCGTGCAGCTATCCGACAAACAATTGCATCCCCGAGAGAGGAAATCCCGAGTTCTTGGTTTGTAATCTTGTAATGCTGAAAGAATTGACGAAAAGGAGATTATTTCTACAATGTAAGATGCAAGACTAAAACGGCTATAGTTGTTACCAAAACGTTACCTTTAGTATCTGGGCTTGATTTGCTTGCAACTTCAACTCCTCCAAATCAATCTCCTTCCCGTCGATCAATTTAGCCACCTCCTCCATCTGTTTTTAATCTCAAAACATGTCACGGTCGATAAAAAAAAACACACTAAAAAAAGCAGCATCATAGAAAGTCAAGTCAGATCTTAGAAAGTTGAAAGAGATTATAACCTCAACGGGAGAAGCATTGAACCGGGCAGCTAGAATGTAAGTAGTGTTTTCCGAAATCCCACATCGTTTCAACGATTCCGTAATCTTGTTTGGAAGAAAAAATAAACAACAACATTAGAGAAACTTGATTCATGAGAGACTCTACAACACTAAACTAACTTCTCTCTTAACTCAACTCAACTCAACTCAAAACAGCTATAAATCTGCTGCACAAAGACCTATTGAACAACTGAACTAGACTCACTGTCTTAAGCTTATCAAGAACTAAACAAGAATGGCTTAAGAACCACAAGCAAAGTTTGTTCTTACATGCTTAGATCCTGAGTAATTGTAAACGAGCTCGGAATGAAGAGTTCGGGTTGATAACGAATCGCGCGATTTGTAGACAAGTGCTTTCTGAGCAGCAGCTAAGAGAGGAAAAATGTCTGGAATCTAATGAATACAATACAATTCGTTAAAGAACAAGAAATCAATCTAAAGACGTTTTAGAATGTCAAAAACAGAGGAAACACAAAAAAACGTACAAGTGATGCATTGAGAAGTGAGACCTCTAGCTTCAAACTTCCATCAAGCATCGAATTCAAGAGATCCCTGAATACACACACACACACAAAATAAACTCGCAAATATTTGATTCGGATCTCACCAAAATTGAGAAAATTGAAAGCTAATAACAGTAACACAATCGGAAACGCAATTCTAATAATTGGGTTATAGAGAAAGAAAGAGAATCCGAAAGATTACAGATGTATCCCAGTTTAATC